TTACCTGAGACCCAGTCCTGGTTTTGATGAGTCATGTTCTGGGTTTACCTCAATGGAAACAGTGTTGTCTTGGAGTTTGTTGATGGCGTTCTCTGCAGCCGTCACCGTCTTCAGCACCTCCGTCTGCTTCTCCTTCAGCTCCTTCTGTTGGTCCGAGGAGAAAAACAAACAGACTTCAGGAGGTTCTCCACAGAACCCACGGCCGGCTGCAAACTGAGACCCGTCCAGTCTTTCGTGTTCTAGAAACACCTTTATTAGTCTGTCAGTTTGTTTCTTTCAAAGCTTTGGCTGCTGTCAGTCTAACAAGTCGAGTCTAAATTCCTCGGGGCAGGTCCAGACGGGTCGGAGCCCAGAACTCTGCTCTGACTCTCAGCTCTAATAAAGTTCAGACCCCGAGGCTTTTACCAGCCAAACCCTGTTTTATGAGTCTTTGAAACCTTTTTAATAAAACCTGAACGGCTCAAACACAAAACCAGGACTTTACCGTCTGAAACCAGTTTATAGATTTGAACTCACCTGCGACACGAAGCGAGGAAATATTTCAGCTTTACTGAAAAGATGCTTCATTTTCAATCAGACTAAAAACAGAATAGAGTCAAATAAAAAAGTTTAATGATAATGAAACGATCAGCTAGTGGCGATGCAAGAGAGCAATATTAATTTTTAATTAGCTACTTTTTAGATTAAAACTAAACTCTTCAATAACTTCAGCCTTATTTTAAATTGACTCGGTGCTTTCAGGCACAACAATGAAAGTAAAAAGTCGAACTTATTCATTCCATCTTTATTTATGCAGGTTAGTCTCAATGAGTCAAAGAGACTCATTTACAAGAGAAGCTGTTTCAAAATATGGAGCTTTAGTTAAATATTGATAAATGTCTTATTGAAACCAACAACACGATCGATGTTCTGATGAACTTTCTTTTCCCCAGTCTGCCCCGGGGTCTCTTGAAAAACATCCAAAGGGAGGTGTCCTGATCAGATGAACCTCCTCAGCTGGCTCTTTTCGATGCAGAGGAGCAGCAGCTCTACTCCGAGCTCCCCCAGATGACGGAGCTCCTCCCCCCCATCTATGAGGCTGAGTGCCCCCCTTTCAAATGAAACTCCTTTTATCTGCTTGGATCCAGGATCTGGTTCTTTGGGTCATGATCCAAACCTCGTGACCTCAGGTGAGGGATGGAATGTAGATAGTCCAGTAAATCCAGAGGTTAGCCTTTGACTCAACTCTTTCTTCACCATGACAGACTGATGCAACGTCCTCATTATTGAAGGCAGGACCACAGTAGGTCAGACCATGTCCAGCTCCATCCTACCATCGCTCAGAAACAAAACAACCAGATAGTTAAACTCCTCACCTGGAGCATAGACTCAACCTGGAGGGAATATTCCACGTTTCCTGTTGAGTACCATGGCCTCGGACATGAGAAATATAGAGAACCATGGCCTCGGACT